GTTTTAAATCTACATTGAAGCAGGCGGAAATTTCTTTTTTTTTTTGAAATCTTATAGGTTTCTACAAATTTTTGACCTTACATTTTGATCGTGTATGATACATGTTCCTTGAATCTGAAGAAATGAATTATAAGATTTATCGATCAATTCAGAATAAAAAAAAAAAGAAAATAAGATCTAAATGTTGATAATGCTCGCACAATAGAGAATCTGTGACAAAGGAAACTCTACAGCTAATTAATCATTTGTGAATTGAGGCTATGTATATCATGTAGGCTATAATGAGTTTATGAATATTCTGAAAAACTGTAGATATTGTATATTTACGATAGTTTTTAGTACAATACCATAATAAACTATTCTCACATAGATCTGTTTCTATGTAAAATTTCGATAGGAAATTTTGAAAATGATTTTTCTTACAAGAGAACATTTCCAGGTCTATCGCTCCGATATATCATTCGACAGAGAACCTCGAGTAAGTAAAAAACCTAAAAGAATTTCGGCCGACGACTTTTTCTTCAGGAGTTACGACCAGTTTTCGCTGGGAAAATCAGGAAAGTGGTCGTAAATCTCGAAGAAGAAGCCGCCGGCCGCAATCCTTTTAGGCTTTTTATCGGTACTAGGACAATTCGTCGTGGACATTTGGTCGCGTAATGAAAAGAACAAATTATATATACAGCTAAATTTTTCTTTTTCATTATGATTTATGCGACGAATTGTTCTGTGACTAATTATCCGGTCATCTTTTTTGTCTACTCGGGGGTTCCTATCGAATAATATATAAACAAATGAAATCGGAGTAGGACACCTGAAAATGTTCCTCCCGTTAGCGTTTCTGAGAAGGGACTATGGCATCGTAAAAATTCGATATCTTTATAAGTCCAAACTCTTTTCAGAACATTCTTATAACTCATTAGAATCTACATGATGTACATAATTTCAACTCAAAGATGATTAATAAATTGAAAGATTTCTTTTCGTTGGCAAAATTCATTACCAAATGAAGTTGTTCGAAATTCAATAGAAGATGCTAATTGTTGTTGTTGTTGTATATTAGTTGTTATTGATGGTTTTGCTTTAATTGTTATTTTATGTATTGTATTTGGTACTAAATTTGTTAATTTAAATCGGTAAGTTCCTGGTTTAATTGTTTGTATTTCTTTATCATTAACAAATAATTTATGAATAATATCATTTGATGCTGGCCACCATGAAATAACAGCTGATGTTTGATTTATTCTATCAACACGTAAATCTTTTGGTATATAAGATAAATCTTTTGAATTTGTTAATAATAATGTACATTGTTGATCACGTGATAAACCAAGTTGTGTTATTGTTCGAATACTAATTCGATGATGTTTTTCATTTAAATTTATATTTTCAATTAAAACATGTGTGCGTTCATTACTCTGTATAGTTGTATAAAGTGTTTGATCAAGCATAACTTGATAACCAAGAATTTGTATAGTAGATAAAGGTGGATCCCAAGCAATTAAAACACTATTACTAAAAAGCTTTTCAATATGAAGATTAGTTGGATGTGGAACTAGAGAAGAGTAGAATAAAAATTTAGAAAAATAAAAGAAATACAAGATTTTATTATTTTACTATTTTTTCCATAGGAAAGATCACTAATTGTTGTATCCGATGCATTACTATTTGCTAAATAAATAATAATAATAATAATTATTATTTTTTATAGAATTGGTTAGTTTTTTTTACTTGGCGTTCGGACTATTGGATTATGAATAGAAGAATTCATATTAGAAGAATCTGAATCTAAACTAGATGTTAGTTCATGATGATATGAATTTCCAATTAATTTTTGAATAATATGTTTTGTATTTTCAGGTAAATCATTTGGATTTTTTACTAATTCAATAAAATTTGATGGTATTAAACCATATCGACCATCTAAATTTCTACCATCATAAAAACCGTCCTTAAATGAAACGAAAAACAAAAAAATTTTTGTTCATTTTTTTTTGTTTTTTGAATTTTTACTTCATCAATATTGCCATAGATAAGATAATATTCTCCTAATTTAAGTGGTAATTCAATTTCTGGATGATCATTTGGAGAAAATCTTAATGGTTCATAAGAATATTTTGCTACGACAATTCGAGCTAATTTATCATTTAAATTTTTTAATCGTTGATGTGAATGAATAGGTGCACTATCATCTCTTGTTAATATTTGAGAATTAGACATAATTGTTAATGGATTGTGATAATTATTATTAGTCAATGGACTATTTTCAGTTGATGAAGGTAATACACGATGTTGTTGTGTTTTTAATGATTGTAATTGAAGAAGAATTTCTTCGTATTTTGAAGTTTGTAATTCAGTTTTACGTTCCAGATCCTGAATTTTGTCCTGAGAAAAAAAAAAAAAATATATATGACGTCAAAGATGACGTTTTCTTTCCTTATTCAGGATGTGATTCTCTGTAGGCTTTATTTATATTAACTATAATTTGATTTTACTGCTTCATATGAAATTACAGTCGAGATTTATGGAATAGAAAAACAAAGCTTTCGGCATATATTGAAAATTTATAAAACTCTAAGTCGAGATTTTATTTTTGTTCTAATGCCTATGGCTCAACTAATTCAGAGACTACTGACATAAATTCGAATTATCTATTGATAGCATATAATAGATTTTAACTATATCAACAGATAGCCATAGAGTTCGGAAGAGTCAATCTTCATCTTCAGCTGATCCTTCTCTCTACGTATCGTTCTTGCCCTCATTCTCAACCAGATAGTAGAAGACTTAGAGGAGAGCACCGGGTAGAGTCCGTCTGGTTGCTCCAGATCTGACTTCATGAGTGCTACTTTGAAAAAAGAGAGCCAATTAGAAGTTGATTCTTTAAGATGTATCGAGAGTACAATTCAGGATTGGATTCGGATTCGAGTCCAAAATTTTTGGACCCGACGAGTTCTAGCACCGGGCGCACTCGGCCTTCCTTTTCGAAATATTTTTCGATTTTTCTCAGTAGGAAACACCCAAAAATGAGTCAATATAACCTCTAATGGATTTAAGAGAACTGTTTTTCATAGAAAAGTTATACCCAGAGGTAGTTGTAATTAACAAGCCGATGGATATAAAACATGAAATTATATTGAATCAAGGCTTTATTAGAAAAAAGATGTAGCGAGAGTTCAATTTGACCTACTATATATACTCTGTGAACCGAGATTTTTTGGATTTCATTTGTAGAACACACTCACACCTTTTCTTTTCAACCAGAAATTCAACCTTTCGTAGGCGGAGAAAGGAAAAGGCCGAGACAATTCTAGCTTCAATCTGATTACATTGCTAGTGTTTGAAAGAAAAATTATTTAATCAATGAACTGAATAAATTAGGCATGAGATAATTCTAAATATTCAAAACTAAGAGTCATTGAGGACAAACTAGAACAAAATTATATAACGATGCATCTGCAAAAAATTTAATCTATAATTGAATAGAAATAGAAAATAAATGTTCTATATATTATTTTGATTATATTAGACTAATTAACTTTTAATGTGTTTGAAAAAAAAAACTGAGATCATTAATTCAATATTTATTTTGAATAAATTCATAATAGACTAATAAATTATTCTTCCTATATTTGTACTTTATTATATTTAAAATATTCTATTAGATTAAAAAAAAAATATTTCTATTCGGTTTTTACTTAATACTTGCAAAAGTTCACTCAAGTTCGTATTATATAATTCAAAATATAACTATTTCCGTTGTTTTGAAATACTATATAGATGATTTTACTTAAACACGCACATAGCTATTCTTAGTAATATTGGATCACGAGATGAGAGTTGCATCCGTTTTTGACAATATTAATACTATTAAACTGAAATAATTTTTAAATACTCTAAAATTTCTTTTGGATTAATGGTTTTAATAGAAAGAAAAAAAGAATGTTCAATACTTGAAGTACATGAATTGTCGTTTGATGTTCTTGTTTTGTTGTATCATGCATCTTTAAAAATAAAAATTAAAAAAAAAAGGCAAAAAAAATTTTTTGTTTTTTTTTTAATATCGTTAAACAAACTTTTTGAAATTGTTCAAAATCATCTTGTTTTTTCTTTAATTCTTGTTTATTTGTTTCATTTTCATCATTTAGTCGTTTTTGTAAATCATTTGCATCTTGTAATGATTTAATTATTGATTCAAGATCTATATTTTTAGTTTTTAACTGTTCATTTTCACGTTGTTTCAAATCATATTCATCTGATTTAGCTATTAAAGCACGTCGTAATGTCTCACATTCTTCCGTTAACTATTCAATTGAGAAAAAAAAAGAACATGATCTTTTTATGTATATATATATATATTTATCATCACTGACTCGTTCATTTGTATGTGTTGCGTTTGTAATTTCATTACGAAGTTGTGTATTTAATGCCGAGGTAGTCTCACACTCTTTAATCTAAAGGTTAGAAAAGAATAGTCGACTTGTTTTGATTTATAGAAGAATAAAAGAGTTCTTTTTTTTTTTTTGGTTTTTTAATTTTCGGTAAGATGATACTTTTCTTTGATAATAATGACTTACGCTTAATTGAAGGTCTTTTTGTAAATGTTCAATTTTCATTTGTAAATCTTGTTGATAATTTTGTGTAGATTTTAATGTTAAAAGATCATCTTCTAATAAATCAATTTTTTGTTTTTGTTTATTATATTCATTTGAATATTTATGATTAATTTCATTTTGTATATATAATAATTTTTCTTTTAATTGTTCATTTTCATGACAATAAGAATCACATAATAATTTTTCTTTTCTATAAACTTTTTCTATATCTGATAATTGATTATATTTTATTTCAAGTTGTTTATATGCTTGTTGAAGTTCATCATATTGTTGAAACTATAAGATAAAAAATAAATTTCTTTAATTAATGAAAATGAAAAGATGTCATATTCTTCTCTTTTATTAACGAATAGATAAAAAAAAAAGACCTGTAATTTTAATTTAACCGTATTGTCTTCATTAGAACATGTCAAACGCTGTATTTCTGTTTTAAATCCTTCATTCATTTTTTGTAATGCTTGATAATTAACTGGGTCATCAAAAAATACTGATGACCCACTAGACCCTGGAGAACATGATTGTTCTTCATTTGTACTTGTCGGTGCAGTTGATATTGGCTAGGAGAGGAAAGGATTGCGATTGATGATGGAAAACAAAACAAGAAAAAGAAGAAAAACCTGCGATAATGTTTGTTGTAAATTACGTTTAGATGTTCGAACATCACGTATAAAACCAGTAAAACGTAATGATGATGGATTTGCCATACTTAATTCTTAGGAGGTTTCTTTTTTGTCTTAGTCTGACAAATAAGTTAAGCGTTAAAAACTAATGTTATCATCTATGATAGGAGATGTTTCTAGTCTTATATATATATATTTTTTTTTCTCTGTCTAATTAAGCAATAGAAAAAGAAGAGACGAAGTAACGAATAGGAATTTTTTTTTTTCTCTTCTCTAAAGATATTCTATACACCTGAAAATCCTCTTTTCTTTTTTTTTTTTTAGTAAAACAGAAACAAAATCGAACAAAACTGAAAGTTAAAGATAGGTTTGCATGCTTGAAAGATTGTTTCCGTTAAATCAGGATAACTTACGTCAACATTAGTTGTCGTCGTAGAATTTAATGATGATACCGATGATAAAAGACGTTTTTCAAGATGTAATTTTTCAATATTTGATTGACGTAATGCTGATTCAAGAAGACTTGACTAAATAAATGATTGTTATTTAGATATACAGTTTTTTTTTTTAATTTAATATGTTTACTTTTGAAAGTTGTTTAACTTGTTCATTTAATTGTTCAATTTCTTGATCTTTTTTCGTTAATAATTTAGTATATTCACTTGCTTGTTTAGTTAAAACTCGTTTAATCAATTCTTTATCATGATCTTTCTGTAAACAAAAAGATAAAAAATACTCATTAAGAAATTTTAATGAATAGGTTTTATTTTTTTTTGTCACCGGTTGATTATGTTTTAGTACTTCTAATTGTTTTTCAAATCGTTTAATACGATCATTCAATTCAATATTTTCTCTTTGTAATCCTCGTTCTTGTTCATCATACAATCGACGATTCTAATTTTACAAGAAAAAAAAAAAGAATATTAATTAAATACACAAAATCAAACTAAATTAATGAAAGATAGAAATATCTCGTACAACTTTCGATTCTTCATTATCCCATAATTCATCAATAATAGTCACTTGACGTGTACCCGGCTCCATTGAGCAAAGAAAAAAGAAGAAATGAATGAAATAAATAAAAAGAAAAAAAAGAAGAGAATATTGACGATGACCAGCTGGTGCCACATAGATGCAATCTCTAATATTATGTTTATTACTACTCAGTGTACAACATATCGATAATGAAACATTTTCTTTTTTTTTTTTGTTGAGCTAATTTATGACGGTTTATTTTTTTATTTCAAAATATCATTTTCTGCTGCTAGGGAGAAAGACAGGTAGAACATTGAAATTACCCTATAAGATACAAGGACAAATATAGGTCAGGATGTTTCATAGGACGAAGGTACAATGAAAAAAAGACAAGAAACAACAATAATAGAAAGTAAAGATAAGTTTGTCGGAGAACATTTCTTATTTTGTTGCGTCTTTTAAATAAGCAATTAGATCACGTCGTTCATCTTCTTTCTTCAATCCAGCAAAGATCATTTTAGTACCGGGAATGTATTTCTTTGGATCTTTTAAATAAATCCAAAGAGTATCTTCACCCCAAGTGATTCCTTTACTTTTGTTAGCATCACTATAGTTAAATCCTGGAGCTTGACCAGTTTGTCGACCGAATAGACCATTAAGATTAGGTCCTTGTTTATTACCAGCACCTTTTTCGACAACATGGCATTGTGCGCATTTAGTTTTAAAAATCTTTGCACCCTTTTCTACATCACCACCTTCCCATTCGTTACCCATTTCTTTTTTTTGCTGTTTTTTTTTGAAAAAAAATCGACGAATTTAGTAGAACGTTAACGTATGATTTGTACTTAGATATTCAATTCGAGAATAGATGAAAGTAAAAAAAAAACAGTGATGAAATAGGAGGAGGAGGTTGGTAAACAAACAACAAGTAATGGCGTCGAATCAAGAACTACCCTTACAATGAATCAGTTATAGTATGGCAGAGATGGAGGACTAGACAAGGCAACTTGCATGTGCAATGGCGAAGACACAATAGAAAATACAGCACAAGAAAAGAAAGGAAAAAAAATCTGATTATTTAACTTACTGTTGAAGTAACGAGATCAGGATCATTGCTTCGTAAAATTTGTATTGGTTCAAGTTTTTTATTTATTTTTTCATTATCATTATTATTTAATGTATTAGTTTTTAATTGTTCAATATCATAAGATAATTCAGTAATACGTTGATCACGTATAAGTAATTGTCGTTGTAAATAACATACAAGATCTTTTTGATCTTGTTTACAAAATGTATTTAATTCATATTCAAATTGTAAACGAAGTTTTGTAATTTTAGCTGATTTATCAAGATCAGATTTACATTTTACCTAAAGAAAAAACTTTATTTTTATCATCATAAACCAAAAACAAAGAAACTAAAACTACGCTCTCTCCATCCAAATTTTCTAGGCTGTCAGGTAGGTGGATGTGCATAAACAGATGGTAGAAGTGGTAAAAAAGAAACGAAAACATACTCAACGAAGGGTAATATTATGTGTATCGAAAGAATAACAATAATAATAATAAAGCTTACTTTATAGAGTGCTGCTAACTGGTTTTTAGCTTGTTTAGCTGTTGCTAATTCACGTTTAAGTTTATCAATAAGAGTTATCAATGATAAACTTGATTCATCATGTTGAATATGATTTATATCATCATTAATACCGATATTACTCTTATATGATGAGCTTATTGATGGTGGATCTGTTTCACATGTTGATCCTGATGATGATGTTGTTGATGGTGTAAATAAATTAATTGGTTGGGAATGAGTTGGATTAGAATTATAAACTGTTTTGGTAAGATTTGTTGTTTTTATCATTGAATTAAATTTAAATTGTTATCACTATCCTTATTTATTACTACATGTTATACATTAACTATATAACAGAATAAATATAAAATGAAATACATCGTCTGTCAATAAATTCAATCATATATGCTTCGGTTTTTTTTCTCTGTTAATTCAAAAAAAAAAAAAAAAGAAAAGAATAAATAAGACAAAGGGCAACATGCGAAAAAAATCGATGAGAACGGATGTCAATAAGAAGAAAGAAATACGTAGATTTGCATGAAAGAAAAAAAACTTCGATTCATCAGTTACATATGTCCGCATAAATGAATAATACTGTAGAACACATCGTTATTCTTATATATCACTATATTGATGAGAACATTAATAAACAAACAATAGTCTCTGACAAGGGCAATTTATAATATCCAAAATGAAAATTGATAAACAAATGATTGACATATATAAGGATTCGAACGATTTAATTGATGAATATAAAGCCATGCTTCATGAAGAATTTGAATTTAAATGTAAAAAAAAAAAGGAAATGGTGAAAGGTCATAACCTTGTATAAACTCCTGTGTCTTCTTTCTCATATTCGATACTCTTAAACAAGTCTCGTATTGATCATTTGTTAAGTTTAACAACTAATAAAACAAAAAAAAAAGGCCATATATATACATTGAATTTCAAGTATCATTCAACAAAGAAAAAAAATCGATATGATACACTTGAAAAAATAATGCTGTCTTACATCATTAAAATCAATCAAATGTCATAAAAGTATTTTGTTTCAATTAATTTATACAGGTGTTTTTTTTTATGGAAATATTTTATCTTTGATGTTCCGGTGTTGATATAATAACAATTTGTTCGAAATTGAACGAATTATAATTAAATAAAATAGTATCTCATTATATAACTAAAATTCTTATTTATTCATATGAATAAAAAAAAATGGAATAAACGTTTTAGATCAACCACAACAACAAATTTATTTTTGTATGAAATATATTAGCGCTACAATCGATTCATTAGTAAAGATTGGTGTGATAGTCAACGTTAAAAAGTGTTTATTTCAATATTCATAGAAAACATTATGGCAAAGTTAATTCGAGTAATAAAACAAATATTTAGTTCAAATACTAGTGAATCATTTGTTAAATTAGTCGGTACTGATCGATTTCAAAATAAATTTTATGAACGTCTTCCCGGTAGAATTTATTTAATTTATTAATATTTTATATATTGATTTTGTTTGCCGAAAGGTAATCGACATTATAATTCATCTCGTCGATTTTATGAACCTGCAAATTATACAGATGTTCGACTACATATTGATCCAGCTTGGGAAGGTTTATATAAATAAATAAATATGTATCCAATATTTATTTATTCTCCTATTTAGCATGGTTAAGAGGTACTCGGAAAGAGCCTCCAACACTCGATGAAACAATTGCATATGAAAACAGACGGCAACAATTGTCAGAAAATGTAGATCTGATTTTATTTTGTTTATAACCTTGACTTTTTTTTTTTTGTTGATATTTATAGTCAATCGACATGTTATCCACAAGTTATGGACGTGATTCAGCACAAGGTGGGACAGGTTAGTATTACAAATTTATCTATAATTAATATGAATAGATTTTTTTTTATTTGAAGGGTCATTTCCGATACGAGATGAGTATGAGATTAATCCAGGTACTAAATCAAGAGAAAAACAGGATCCTAATAAAACACATTAATATAATATAATAAACTAGTTTTTTCGGTGCTGTGTTGTTTTTGTTTTGTTTTTTTTCACTTCAATAGATCTAGATCTTGTTTTAGTTTTAGATAGATGAAAGAATAAGTTAATATGAAGATAACTATGCATCAAATATTTTAATATGTATAACAATACGCGAAGCAAATTATCATTTACAAATGTTATATAAACATAATCAAGAATTTGAACAAATTAATTAATAAATAAAATGAAGAATTAGAAAAAAAAGGATTTTATTTATATGAATTTAAAACAAATCAATTATTATAAAAACATTGTCAACAATTACAAATATGATTTGATGATCGAATTCAACATTTGCATATTTATGAAAACAAAGAAAGATTATTTCGTGAAACACATGAATTAAAACCAGCTATTGAATTATTATTAAATACATTCAAAAAAGAACATCCTATTCTATCAACATCGATTTCAATTCAAATTCTACAAAGATTAAATCAAAAGGAAAATGTAAATATTATTCACAAAACAGATGCTGTTGAAATTTTATACATAAACAATATATATACATATCCATCTTTTAACGTCAGATTTTAAGATAATATCCATTCTGTTTTTATTTTATATGTTAATATTTTGTATAATAATAAATAACCAATTTATACTTGCGGGAATAATACCTGATTTTTTTAAAGATAAATAGCTGTTAGCGCAATCCTTACGGGATTAAAATGTGAGACATGATATAGTGGGTGTTGCCAATCATAGAGAGATGTTCATATTGTATGAAGAGCCGTTATTGATTTATGGCCTTCGATTGTATATGAATAACATCTGTCACGGTCTATGGAGGAAGTTCAGATTTTTATCTCTATATTCCAACGCGCCTCTCAGATCGTATTTTATAATAATACATGAAAAAACTTTCAAATTATGATTTCCTATTTCCAGACATTTGAAGAAAACCTAGTTTTAGAAAAAAAAGCAGAATTCTCTTTTTCACTTACTCAAGAAACTATCCGATTAGAATATTCTTTTGTTTCATTAGTAACAGTTATTGTTACTACTCAGCGAATAGTCAGTAGTCGCCGACGCACCAAAAAAGAAAAAACTAAAACAACATATTAGACATTATATATATACTAGAAGAATTCATAACTTTCATTGAAAGACTTCTGTCTACACACATACAATGCATTGATTCTTACTCGATTAGTTTAGCATAATAATTTCATTCGAGAATCGGTCATGTTCAAAACTTCATCAATTATCAAATAGTTGTAGAAAAGTTTTTGTTTTCTATTCAATAAAAACTCAACGATGAAAATATACAGACATATGCAATTATTAGTAATCTATCTCTTTAGTATGTTTGAATTATAATTCGACTGATGTTGAGCATTTGATTTTATTAGACAGTGTCGTTTCTTAGATAAAAAAAAAAGCTGTTTTGAATTCGATATAGAAAATAAACTTTAATGTTATTTTTTGTTGTTATTTCTCTTCAAACACTTGCTATGCCTCGAGATTCATTAGTTTGAATTTTATTTCATGTTGATGCACTTTTTTGGTAGTCATTTCTCAAGTCTTTTAAACATGTTTATTTTATCAACTTCTACACTAACATCATTGGTAATTGTCAATAAAGTAAATACAACAATAACTTAGTTACTGAATATTTTGACCGACATTTTTAAAAAAACGTATAATTGTTGGTTGATATGGTATTTGAAATTTAATCATAACATATAGTTTCTTTCCAAACATTTTATAGGTTAATTAGTTGTACAAGAATCAATGTTGCTGATACAATCGTTGCAAAAACCCATCCGATATTCTATTCACCATAGTGAATATTTTTCAATTTTTTTTATTGATATGTCAATAATTTTGTTTCAAAATTAGCATCATGATTGAGAATTGTTTTCATCTATTAAAGTTTGTTACTGTCATCAACATGTTGATGCCTAGTTGAATGACTGGCGTTTAATTTCCTGTCTTCCAATTAGAAACTCTATTGCTTGACATGTAATAAAAATTTCTTCGATTATTTTGTTATTCACTCATTAGAGAAATGGAATAGAATGTTATGATTCTTATTGACTCATAATAATTATAATAGAATTTTTTTTACTAACCTCTAATAATCACTTTGACTAAAAGATTTTTATATCTTATTTCGATTAGAATAGAAATTAAAAATATTCCATTAGAATAATTCAACCATATAGAACAAAAAATTAGCTGTTTTATTTTTTCTTTTTGTTATTAGAAAAAAAAATAATGATATGACACTCAATGAGTTTATTTATTAACGTATCAGAGAACGAAATCGATAGTTTTATAAATTAATTTTTTTATTTTTGACTACAAATTCATAGATCAAAAACATCTTGGTTGATGTAAAATAAAAATTCTTAGATGGTGAGCAGCACATTTACATTTCGCTTTCATTTGGTATTTTCCTGGAACTGACTCGATCTAGTTTTGAATGTGAAGTGGATGAAGAGAAGATCCACATCCATATTAGAATACTTTAATATTATTCGAGATATTTATCAATACATAATTGAACTTCAAAGACTTGCAAACTAAAAAATTTGAAACATTATCAAACCATAAAACTTTTTTCCTAACAATGTATTGTATTAGTGATATACAAAACAATCGATTTTCAACACGGATGTTCATGTATACTGGTGTCGCAGTATATAGATATTCTCATATGTATCAATGTTTATCCTGCTATGCATATATCTGATCCGTCTTTTGCAAATATGATTTCGCCGATGTAGAAATGAGCGTGTAAATTGCAAAAAAGAAACAGAAAAAAAAGAACAAAGATCTCGAAAAGAAAGTCGGTGATAATGTGCCTCTTAACGTCGTGTTAGATTATTGAATCCAAAAACTGTAAACGAAAAAACCAACATTGTCATTATTAATTAACAGGGATTTTAGTTGGTACTAAACACAGAATAGAATTTCGAGCGGAAATTTTATTCATAGATATGATATATTGTCACAAGAAATCCTTTACAATTTGAACTAGGACAAATACATCCTTATTAAGATTTCAATTTATCATGAACATCTCCTTGTTTTAAAATACAGCTCAAAACAAGCGTTTCTTTAAAACGTGAATATCGTGACAAGGATGCCTTCGTTCGGATTCAAACTTTGAAGAGTTTCTCTAGCAACTATGAGGCTTATTCATAGATAAAATATCAGCTCGAAAGTAGATCTCAGCGATTTTCTGTTCATAAACAAAAATCAAGTAAAAATCTCATACATTGGATAAGCGACGACCGAGTAATCAAACCAAAACAGACTTTTCCACTGCTCATCAAGACTGATTGAAAAGTGATTTAGCAATTAAGAATATTCTTTCATAACCTGGAAATAGTTTTCAATTTTATAGCCGAAATATACTAAAGTCAAACGTTTTTTCGTCGCATGTCATTTATCTAAATCGTAAAAAAGCAAGAGAAATAGTAAAGAACAAGTATGTGACAGTTAGATAAAATTCTTTTTGTATCACCAGATAAATATATGTATGTTTAAAAAAAAATCTTATTGATCGATTTCAAATATTTCATGATCATATTTTCATAGTTATATTACTATTATTAACCTTTTGATGATCGACAACACATATATACCTCATGAGCTTTATCATTGCATGAAACTAGCATAATTACTTATAATACATATTTTTTCGACACATTTACGCACAACCAAATGTCAAACAGCAGGAACTTTCCACATTAACATTTTATTACGGCACATGTCAGACTCATGCGTTAAGAAATAAAAATATGCATGACATAAAGTCACTCTAGTTTATGTATGTGTATCTTTTGTCGAATAACGAAAAGATTAGAAGAGAAGTTGTCAATCAATAATATATCTTTTTCATTGTAGGAATATTGGCAACTTATTGTTAAATCGTAATGCTGATGTTTGTTTATCTTTTTTCTGTATGGCATTGAACGATCATATGTAAAATAATTCAATGATAGTCGGAACCTTGGAGTTGATAATTACTGTGGTATATCAAAAAGAGTCTGTTTAGTTGAAAATATCTTCTTTATCATCTATGATACGATTTTATCGTTGTATTGTGTGAAATAGAACAAAATTCGAAGTTTAAAGTTTTTTTTATTTAAAAATAGTTGTTATTTAACAACATGATAAAAATACATGCGTAGAATAAATTAAAAAAAATTTTACAAAACATAAAAAGTTATTTATTATATTAAAGAAACTTTCTGATTTTGATATTAAGAATTTGTTGAAAGTTGTTCAATATCGGTATTCTCATCATTTACTGTACATTTTTCTAGATCATTTTCAATTGTTTGAATTTCAGATATTGGTGGAGTTTCTTCATTATCTTTCTTTTCTTTCTTGTTTTTTTCAAGTTGAAGTAGATGACGACAAAATCCATCATTTGGCCAAATACGACGTCGTGTAGCAACAAGTTGAAATGCATCAAACAATGACATATGTTCATATGTATGAAGTAGATATGCTATAATTAATGTTGCTGATCGACTTATACCCTAGCAAAAAATTTTCACAAAAGAAATTAAAATTCTATAATAATCTTTTGAATTTACTTGTTGACAATGAACATAAACACGATCTAGACAAAAAAAAGAAATAAAGAATAATTTAAACTTTAAATCATTATTTTTACTAATAATTACATACTTTTTTTATTATTCAATGCTTCTTCTAAAAATTGTATTGCTTCTTCAAAATGTGTTCCAATTTTATATGCAGGACTATCAATAATTGAAAAACCTTTATATTTAATTCCTACTTCTTCATAATAAGTTGCACTTGTATTAATTTGTCCAAATTTACGTCCTTCAGCTGCATTTAAAATATGTGTAAAACCTAATTTTTTTAATTTTATTGGATCAACTGCTAATCGACTGAATGTATAAGTTTTTTAACAAAGAGATTAAAAAAAAATTCTATACATTTTTCATCTGATTTAAAATACTT